CCAACCAACCATCCAAACCAACCAACCAACCAACCAACCAACCAACCAACCAACCATCCAACCCAACCAACCAACCAACCAACCAACCAACCATCCATCCAACCAACCAACCATCCAACCAACCAACCAACCAACCAACCAACGAACCAACGAACCAACGAACCAACCAACCAACCAACCAACCAACCATCCAACCCAACCAACCAACCAACCAACCAACCAACACCTTGCAAAAAGATTTTGTCAATGGCAACCTGAAGTCAGCTTCCATGTTGACTGTTTTTCCCTTCTCTGTCAGAGATATTTGAAGATCATACAGGGCAAATTAATTTCAAGTGTTCTGTTTTGTTCTTTTTGCCACAACATATTTGAAGATCATACAGGGCAAATTAATTTCAAGTGTTCTGTTTTGTTCTTTTTGCCACAGGGAATCAGCATACCTATACTCATGCTTCTGAAGTGCTACAGAACCGGAAAAGGAAAAAGATATTTCTAAAAGGAACTAAAAATATGCTAGCTTTGATACAAGACAGGATTATCAAAGCCCTGTGTTATGTACCTGCAAGGGGCAGAGAAGTTAAAAAAGAGAAGTGAGATCTATTTTATGAAGTAATTTTGTCCCTACTCATGGTATCTTACTTTTATGCAATGATTCTCATCCCTAAGAGTTCTAAATACTTCATTTGTTTGATGTGTGACAGGGAGATCACTTAGTTCATCACTGAAGACTTGCCCCCTTTATGATGAATTCCTGGAAACCCTTAAACAGCTTATAGAGAGATATACAATATTAAAATACTATAAGAAGTAATTTCTTTAGATAAAAAAATATTTCTTCTGTCTAGGAGAAAATGATTTCAAATACTTAAATATTATTTAGATGGAAAAAGTTTTATTGTAAAAATTCTATAGGAATCTCTAAGTCTTGTTTTGGCTCAAGAGTTGTCTTTGGAGAAAGAGTTTGAGTTAATGTCACACTGAGTTAAAGCAACATCTATATTGCTTCTTTCATTCTGGTATTCTGGATAGGCTTTAAAACTACTTTATAGAAGTTGCTACTTTATGGCTAAAACAGACCTCAGGCTTCTCTTAACTTTCATGGTTATATATAACATGTCTTAACTTTCTTAGGGGAAAGGTAAAAAAAGGAACGGTGCTGCCCCATAAAGTCATGGATGTTTTCATCTCACTGTCTCTGTGATAGTGCTTTAAGTCCCACATAAAATTTTGTGAGAAAGACACATCCTACACATCACCTCTCCAGAGGGAAGACCTAGGAAATGTGACGAAGATGCCCCTTGCAGAAAAGCATTATATTATCTTAGAAAAATTTGCCACTGAAAGAGGTGTTTTTTGTTCATGTTTCTCTTTTGTTTCTCAATCAGTTGGTGAAGATAGGTCCTTGACCAGTATTGACACAAACTTCCCACCAGTTTTTTGCAGTAGATTAATGCCTGTGTGCCAATGGAAAAAATTGATGCCTGATGTACCATTGATATGGTACATCCAGACTTTTCACAAACTCAGGGTCCTAAAGCAGCAAGATATGTCATGTTCACTTTGCAAATTTGATCTCACTATCTGTTCTCAAATATTCTCAAATGTTCTCTTCCCCATGAGAAAGCAATATTTATATACAGCTACCTGTTGAACAGAAAAAACACTGATCCTATTTTGTTTTAAAGCACCATTTCACATTTCTTCATTAAGCAATGAAATTGGACATTTAGGAACTTCAGAAACAATAACTTTTGTGGCAAGTTTCACAAAGGAAGTTATATATATACAGCACTATACTTTGGGAGGATGATCATTGGATTTGGAATATTCTCTTCTCATGAAATCAAGCTGCCAGACTGATAATTTCAATTTTTCAATAAAAACTACATTTGTTTGAAAGAAATTTTTAGATAGTACCCTGAAGCATAATCAGACATCAAACAGGAAGTAAAAACCTCCTATGATATCATTACTTTAATTAAAGACACACAAAGATGAAGGAAAAGAGAGCTTGAACCTATACAGAGGTACTGGAACAGTGGTTTTACATTCAGACCTGAATAGACCTCAATGGCATATGAAATTAAAGACTTAAAGACTGAAAGCAGACATTGGGTTAGCATCAGACTGGTGTGCATTGATCAAACACAGGAGACATACTTTAAGCATACCCTCACCCCAACAAACCAGTGTCAATCTTTGCATGAAGAATTATTCTAAAGTATTATTCATTTGGTGGGTTTAAAAAAAACAACAACAACAACCAAACAGCTTCCTGTACAAGTGTTCTATTTAGGTTCCCTTTTAATACCAACCTTAGTCTAGAATGGTCCCCCATATGATGTTCTGCTATGATCTCTCCATTAGAATTCCCTGATGGAATCAGTATGAACCACAGGCAGTTATCACAATATTTTCATGGTGAAGAGTTGTGCAATAGAGCTGATACCAGCTACTCTTGTCACAAATGTTTCCAAAACCTAAACTAGGGTTTTAAAAAGTATACATGAAGTTGGAATGCCTGATCTAGAAAAAAAAATCAGAGCTACTTATTTAATCCTCTAAAATTACTCAGTAATTGTTCTGGTTATGAAATCTGCCTGTGACAGATCTCTGAAGGTCATGGTCATTTAACACTTCCTTCTCCAAAAGGCTGATTTTTCTGTGCTTTGAAAGATTTTTCTCTGTTTGAAAGTTAAACTTGGAATTCTTTCCAACAAGGACTGTCATGCAGCACTAGTCTGCAAAGGAAAAAGCAAGGAACAAAGGATTAAAAAAAAATTGAACTTACCCGATGAATGTCATTCTGTTTCTGCACAGTGGGAAGATCTCCACCAATGGGTGCTTGCTGTTTTAATTCATCCTCCTTCAACTGCAGCCATGCCAAAAGCTCCTGAAGAGAGAGATGCAATCTCTTCCACTGGTCAGTACTGGCTTCCAAATGGGACCTGAAAGCATGTGTTAAATAGAAGATAGATTCAGGCAAAGTATAAGTAAAAACCAAAATGTACAAGCTTATTTACTGAGAAAGGTCCTAGTGTTTCATTAAGTTAATGATTTTTGAATAGCTTCAGTAGCTTTGAATTAGATTCTGGCAACACAGATTTATATTTGGTTTCACAGTCCTGGCTTTTTTTTAACATGTCCTGATTTTTGTTTTTGATTGGTTGGGAGGTTTTTTGGCATTTTAGTTTTCCTCTTTAGCAGTGAGTAAGGGCTGTACTGAAATGTTTGTCTCACAAGAAGTGCACAAATATTATTATTTGTGCAGGACTAGCACAAGAAATGCAGTCATCACTAAGGACTACTAGGACATTACTTACTTGAAATGCACAGGTTAGTTTTCCAACTCAGTGAAGAGCAAGCGTTTCTCTAAATCACTACACAAACCATTCAAATTACACAATATTCATTATCTTATTTTTTTTAAATAAGAGAACCAATACCATTCTTTTTAAAAAAAAGTCATGAGAAAATTGTTAAAGATGAAAGAAACTTCATGCACTATCTAGCCAAATGTCAGTGTCATTTAAACAGAGGTGTGAATGAAACTATTTGAAACACTGGGAAAATTAAAAGACAAAATATAATTTTTCTGAAAAAAGGATATTTTCTAAATATTTCCTCTGTATATGCATAAATGTGGTTCTTTGGGATCAAATATAGAGCTTCTAAATTTCAGCATCTGTTTTCTGTGGCTGGACTGATAAAATCTTCAATTTTCTCTGTACCATGGATAAACCCCACTAAAATTTTGTCTTTCTGTACCTATGGATATGCTATTTTTTAAATTTTTGCTTTGGGAAAAAATCCTAATTCACCTCTAAGTAACATAAGAAATCCTCTTAGTAAGTCAAACCAAAGAAGTATTACATAACAGTAAAGTGGAAAAAATGTGCTGGAAAATAAAGACAAATTTTCTTTTATTTCATACATTTCTGTTTAAGTTCTAGCTTCGTTCATATAACATTTATCTTGTTCTACAGTGATTTCACATAAAATCGTTCTCTTCTGATGCCAAGAATTCTACTCCTATACCTTATAGATAATGTTCTATAAAGAAACGTGAAAAGTATGGACTCAGCATTTTTGCAAACCTTGTTGGTTTGGACACGGAAATGAGGAATTGCTGGAGGTAGGGACAGATGCATTTCTCTCAAATGCTCTATGAATCCTGTCTTCTTTCCAGCCTCTTACATCAGGTAATTAAAGTGGCAAGGAAAGAGAAAGGAAAGGGACAGATCAGCCACACGCTGACAGAAAATTCAGCTGCTCTCAAAGTATATGAGCTAATGGAAAATCTCTTTTTTCAAACTTAAATGCTACATGTGAAGAACACACACAGATCAGGGCTTTTGATCACTTCTCTCACAGAACATCTGGGAGCAGGGGCAAAATGGCATCACAGCAGGAGGAGGCCAGTCCTGTAGGCAATGAAATCTAGAGAAGGCCCTGCATGCTAAAAGATTAGGTTATATATATGTTTATACATAATAAATTATTTACAGTGAGGGTGGTGAGGCACTAGAACAGATTGTCCAGAGAAGTTGTGGATGCCCCAGCCCTGGAAGTGCTCAAGGCCAGGCTGGGTGTAGCTTTGAGCAACCTGAATGGGTCCTTGCCCATGGCAGGGAGGTTGGCAGTGGACGTTCACAGTCCCTGCCAACACAAACCATTCTTTCATTCTGTGATACCTCTGGAAGTAACAATGGGCAGAGAAGCTTTTTATTATTTTTTATTTAGGGAGAGCTGCAGGAGGTGACAACCAGAGCAAGTACTACAGGATTTTAGGACAGGAGACACTCAAGGAGCCAAGTTTCTGATTCAGGCTAATTCCCTTGTCTCATGTTTGTCTTGGAATAGGCAAGCTTCCACCTCTTCTGAAGAAGGGCAGCAAATGAAAGCAAACATTTCTTCCCTGCTTCCCCAGGTCTGGCTTTACAGGGAAAAAGTGCAAAAAGAGTCACCTGAAGGGGTTTTGTTACTGCTGCTGTGCTCTGACCTTCCCAAGTTAGGTGATTTTTATTTTCCAGAACCTGTCTTGTTCTGCTGTTCCTTCATCTTCAGGAATATATGTTTATGCATACACACACCAGTGTACATTTTATGCATAAACTCATGTATTTATGACTGTGTCCAGGATGTGCAGACAAAAAAGGTAATAATAAAACAGTTTTGAAAATATATTTATAAGAAAGTTTATTAGGACAAACTGTGCTGACATATCAGGATGAAAGAAAGGGAGGAATTGAGAAAAGCTTGGCTTCTCTTTAATATCTACTATCTATTATTTTATGTGATGCATTTAGAAAAGAATGCCCACCCAAGTTGATTCATGGCAAGAGTCTTCTCTTCCAGCAGAATAAAAATTACACTAAATAAAGGAACTTCTGGGACTGATGTCTGGAGAACACTTCATATGTCTTCTCTAATCCCTCTTCTGTGTAAGTGTTGCTAGTTATAATGAAATATATTCCTTTCTGTGCTATGGGTAGAAAGAGCTCCAACCAGGCTCCAACCAGGCAGACTGGGAAGAACCTTTTCATTTAGTCTGGTGGCCAGCAACACTTAATCTGAATGTCTGAGAATTTAAGAATCATTTCTTATCCTAATCAATAAGTTGTTGAAGACCTTAAGCCTTTTATTGGAAGCACAGATTTTAGAGGGGAGGTTTGCTGCTTTGAACGTACAATTCAGGAAATCACTGTGCTGTAACTGGGGTTTACTGCTTCTGACTCAATTAATGACAGCAATAGATTAAACTGAAAGAAAGGAGACAGAAAGTCCCATATATTTAATTACTGATATTTGGGCAACTGGCTATTTATTTTTATCTCAAAAATCACTGTATTTGAGCAAGCTCATGGGCAAAATGCATGCGAACAAAAAAATCTCAGACACTTTGAAGGGTTTTATTCTTCCTCTTTTGCTCCTCAGAAGGAAAAAAAAAAAAAGGAGGACTATGTCTCTTTTTCTTTAGTTACTAATATCTTTTCAACATTACAGTCTTCATTTATTTTTAATGATTGATGATACTGAGATGGTTTTTGTCATTACACAGCCTGACCTCCCTCAGGACCTGAGATGAAAAAAGCTAATATTTCATACATTACTTTGGAAAACACTTCTGTCTTTTTCTGCCCTCTGAACTACCACCAACACACACCAAGTGAGAAAATGAAAAAATGCCCAAGACTGAGTGCAACTGAGCTGGGTTGCCTATTGCAGAAGCTGTATTTTTGAAGAAAAGCTTCCTGGACAATTTCTTTTGAAATGAAACTTTGAGTCCATTGAAGCCTGAATGACCACTTGATAATTTGTAATGTTACCATTTACTATACATCTTGCAAACAAAAGTGTTTCCTCTCATGAGGAAACCTATGGATTTTTTTACTCCAAGATTTTATTTAGCAATTTTGTCCACTCTTCTGACAACAGTTAAAATCTTAAATAATTTGCCTTCTCATTTGTAAGCATATTTTTAGTTTTGCGCAGGAAATAGCAGTCTTTAAAATAAAGCTTATCATAAATATTGGTTATTTAATCACTTTCTTTCATGACTCACTGATAAGTCATACCCAGTTCTAGAAAAAGCCCACATTTAGAGGGGGTACTGTTACTGTTTAAACGTGGTAATCTTTCTTTCTGTAATTACAAAACTTCATCATATGCCTCAAATCCTAATCCTCTACTATCATTTTCACACAAAAAAACCTAATCATTCTTACAAAGTTAAGCCAACATCCAAAGTAGCACAAATAATTTCAAAATAGACAAAAACAGTGCTAACAGAAAAAAAATTAAACCTTTTTACTTGCAAATTGTAGCATTCCATCTAATACACTAATGGTAGGCTTTTGCTTAGGTTCAGGTCCTACCTAATGTTTAGAGATTTCTTCCTAAGTTCACTCCATCTGAGGTTCATGTTATCCAGACGTCTCTGCAGCAGGGTTGCATCCTCAGAGCCTTCCAGGGACCTCAGGATTTTCTGCCCATTTTCATCCAGGTTGTGAAAGATGTCAGTGTGAGCATCAATTTCTGCCTGTAGTTCCTATGGAAGCAACAGAAAACAATATATCCGACTTCTTAAAATAATCACAGAAACTATGATTATTCAAAAGAGTTAAAAAATCCTCAGTGCAACACAGAGCACAGGTTTTGATTATTCCTTTTACAGCAATATCATGTCCTGTATACAAAGTCAGGTTTCCCTTTCACATGAAGGCCATTTGCATTGAATAGGACCCTTATTTCCCACAGGGAGCATACTGAACAAAATTTAGAAAGCTAAAGGTGTAGCCTTTGACAGCAGCAAAGGAAGGACAGGATATATTTACTGTGCTGATGAGGGAAAAACAAAGAAACACAAAATCCTCAGGATCTCAGGTAAGTCTGACCTTCACATGATACGTCTTCCTGTGCAACATTTTCAGTTTGAGCTGGGGACTGCAACACCGGTCCTGCTGCATGGCAAGTCCAAGAAATCTGGGCGTCTGCAGCAGCCGGGCTTTAAAATGCCAAGTTCACTTACATTCTGTTGACAGAACGCATTTTGGAGCACAGGCCTCAGCAGTCAATAGCAATAAACAGCCACTTTGTGCTGTATCAAAACACTGGTTGGGGCCACGGCTGTAGGAGGGCCTGAGAATAGCAAGGACCTAGAATATGCAACTGGCAGCTCGTGTTGAACAGCCAACTTTTCTTATCGCCTCGTAACTGCAGGCCAGCTCTAAATTTTGAATTCATTTTTTCCCCCTCATTTTTAGCACGGCTGTTTCTGCCAAAAGAACATTCTTTAGAGAGCTGCCTGGTACCAGCATTCCTGCCTGCCCACACACTCAATGCAGCCTTTGTACGCTGGCTGCCCTTCCCCAAGACGTTTGCATGCTGCAGCTCCACAAGGTCAGATTCATTTGCAGAGAACAGTGGTTGAATCAAGGTCATTAAATGGAATAAAAATAATAGTGATAATAATTTCAACATGTACATGAATGAGCGTACACGTACTTTATATGCAGCCATATCTGCACAAAAGTACTTCTACTTTCAAATAAAGAAGCACACAAAGACACAAAGAAATCATGAACAGTGAATAAAGCTCCACATTTTCTCCTGTGATGCTGGAGCACTAAGATTTCTGGTGGTGGTTTCTTGCTGCCTGAAATGGGAGTGCTAGAGATAAAGCGGGGAAGAGGAGATGATTTATGGCATTTGAGAACAAGACCCAGTATTAACTCAGCATCACAGATAGGCCCCAATGGAAATTTGTTGCAATTTTCTTCAGAAGAATGACTTTGAAGAGGGGAGCACACAATCTGTCTACTTGGTGTGTTCTTAATTGAATTGGTTTTATTTGATATTTTAAGTGCAATGTTAGCTGCACTGAATCATGAGTAGATTGTCCTTGTTCACTTACTGCTGTTCCAAATGTCCTTAACTGGATACCTGTCACAGCAATGGCTAGGATAATAATTTGGGGAAGTTTTAAGGTGGGCTAGCAATCTTTGGTACAGAGTAAGAATCCTCCTCCAACTATTTTACTTGTCTATTGTCATTCAAGCAGTAAAGTACCTAGGAATGAGTTTGATGTACATCAGAGGTAACTCTGAAGAATACAACAGCATTATAAATGTATTTATTTAATGTAGTTCAGGTAATTTATATTTTTAAACATGGCATTATTAAGGTACATAAAAATGTACAATATTCTAGGTAAGGATGTCCTTACTTGAAAATTTGTATTTTATTTCAAGTCTGAATGTTGCTAGCTTGAACTTCCAGCTGTGATACTTCATTTTTGTTTGCTTGAATGAAGAATACTCTATCACCAAATTTCTTTCCTTCCATGTTTAATATTAATTTGAATAATATTTGGAGAAATCATTTAAACTGGGTTAAGTATAACAATACTGATGTAAACATCTGAATCAATGTGTAAGAAAGGATAAAGTTCACAATAAAAAAGTTAACTGTTAATGTCTATATAGTTCTAAGGTCCTCCTACATTTGATAGACACCAAGTCTGATATTGGACAAAATAATTACATTCATACATTACCTGTTGCACAAAATTCTTGGTTTTCAGGGTAGTGATGGAAACATTGAATTTACAAACTAGTTCCTTTGCCTTGGCAAGAACATGTGCCATGAAACATGTCCAATAACTATTCACAGTAAGAAACTGTCAAATCTATGTCCTCTTGGTGTTTTACTACACATATGCTTATAGCATTATATAAGACAAAATTTAAGAAAAAAAATCTTTCCCCATTTTTTGAGTGTTTAGAAAGTGTATCTTATGGTCTACACATTTTATGTCTTCCTCCAGACACACACATAATTCTTAAAATAAAAGCAAACCACATTATTTTTAATTTCAGAACACTACGTAGTATCACAACACATCTGGACAGTCGAGTGGGCAATGAACATGACAAGTGAAGTAATCTTATCAAAAGCTTAATATTCAAGACCAAGTTTTCCTTATTCCAAATTACTTGTGTATTTCTTTTATTTCTTGCAGAAGTAGTTTATTTCAGCTATGCAGGAAGCCTACACTGACAAAGAAGCAAGACAACAACAATGATATTTGCTCCATTAAGGTTGGTGCATTTCAGAACCTTTCTTTGTGACACTTACACATCCTAAGAGAAGCAGAGAACATATAAGAAAAAGATCTATACACCTTTTATTTGTTTTCTGAAATAAATAAATCCATGTTTTAAAAACAAAATATAAATTACATTATTCTTCTTGACAACGGTAAAGCAGGAAGAGCTATTTAATCTCAAAAATTGCTAAAATCTTTGCAAATGTATGCTGTCATTACATGTCGAACCAAGAAACATAGCATATGGATTAAACATACTATTTATTTCATTTTCATATTTTCCAATGTGTTCAAACATGAAAAAACTACAGAGGATAAAAAAATCAATCCTGGTATAATACTGATTTACAATTGGAGCGTATGCTGTGATTTTGCTGCAGTTGTTATTAATAAGTCTGTGCTGAAAAAGGATTATCTATCTACTCTTAAAAAGAGCAGAGAGCAAAATGAAAAACATCTTTTTGATCACAAGTTACTGCTTAGGGTGAGCTGAACTGCCCGGAATGAACTGCAACTCCATTAGGTGCTGGATGAAGTCCTCCTTTATTCAGATGAACTATACATTTAGATGACAAAATGCACAATAATACTTGTTTGTAGAAACTTAGATGAACAGTTATTAGAGGTTTCTACACATTTAAAAATGTGTATTTACATTATCTTATTATATAGAATAAGTGTGCAACTTAGATACAGAGCTGGGGTGATGAAGAGATGACGTACGTTTTGTCTTGAGGACAATCTTGTTGGGCAAAACAGGGTTAGGGAAGTTTCTCTGGCTGTTTCACTTTTTGCCCTGAGCTCTTGAGACCACCACACATGATTTCAGAGAGGTGCACTAATGTGCTGAGCACAGCCAATGCTGCCAAGAAGCTAGGGGATGGGTTATTTCTCACTTTCTCAACTCAGTTGTTTCCCCCTTGGAATGACTGCCCCCATTCTCCGTGGAAGCACAGATCCTCACTGCCCTAATTCTTTTGCTAGGCAGAAGAAATTCATTTGTGGCTCTGAGGGTTTTATTTACACAGAGCCCTGCTAAGCACAGCTGAGCCGTCGCTGTAAAATCCAATGCACTCAAAGTTCTGCCAGCTTCCACACAGCACTGCTAGCCCTACAAGAATTCCATATGCTTTGAGATGTCTTAGCAGAAACAATTAATCAGTGCCAATGTCCTTCCTATCCCACATGCAATATATAGACATGACATACAAAGGACATTATACATGTCAAAATCTGCCATTATTTTGGCAATATACCAGATACCTAATACTACTACATTGGTAGTCTGGAAGTAAAATGAAGTCTTAGAAAGAATGAATTAATTCTATTTCTTGGACTATAGATGAGTCATACTAAAACATGGAAATCAATGCAGTGCAGCTGACAAAACATTTATCTTTTATACAAGGTAGAAAAAAATTCATTATGCAATAATTTAAAGAAATTAAAGGACCCTAGTTCACCTCTATTTGTAGCTCTGTAAAGCACATCTTAGAAGTTTAGCAACTGGATTTCAAATTAATAATCCCACTTGATTTCATTTAACTCTCAACTCTAAATTTCTGATTCTACCTAAAGCATAAACTCTGTGGGAGGGTTCAGAGAATTTGTGACAATTTTTCAGTGCCCTGGAATTCTCCAGCAACCTTTGGAGGCACAGAAATCCATGCACATGGCACCATTCTCAGGATCACAGCTTATTCTCCTGTCTGCTAGACAGGGGAAAAGTTTTGTGAGTGTTACAGTTTCAGAATGAAGGGCTACAGCACAGCACATCAAATGCACTTTAAGCACCTGAGTGATAGCATCAGCGCAAGGTGCACTTGATCAGTTTCTTTTGTTTTTGGCAACTGAAGGCCAGTTTGCACTAAGCTTTATGGCAGTCTCTCCTTGTGAGCTGGTTGTTACCATTTGAATAGGAAGAAATGTATGTTTTTTTGAAAGAGAACATTTGTGTCTGAAGATTCTATGATGCAGTTTAATGATGGAATAAATCAAGCTTTTAAGTAATTTTCTCTCCCAGTCCATAATCAAAACTTTTATTGAGTCTTAGAATGACACCATTCACTGAACAATTTACATAATGATAAAAACTTCTCAAATGAGATTTAAAATATAATTAAAGGGCAGACTTACTGAGTTAAAAGCATTGTTGTGAAATGGCTATACATCACCATGCCAAGAAGCCTCCTATTCAGCTAGCCTATGGCATGACCCCAATTCCAGTTTGGTATGATTACATCTCTGAGTTTCATGCTAATGACTTGATTAAAAAGAATGATAAAAAGGTCTTTTCCATTGTGAAGATAAGCTTATGAACATAATTAAGGCATTTCTGGTTTCCCAACACATTTTTCAAGATAAAAAAGGGTAAGAGCTAGTCCTCTAAGAGAGAATCAAGTGTTGATGAATGGAAGCCACAAGAATAACTTTGCCCTGCA